TCTTGCATTTCTTGGGTTTTTGGATTTTTTCTTCCTTTTGATTTTACAGATTTTTTGATTTTCTGGATAGATTCGAGTTTTTGGATTTTTTGGATTTTTGCAATTATTGGATTTCTTAGGTTTGTTTTTTTTTTCGATTTTTTGGATTGTTTGAATTTTTGTAATTTTTTTTTCTTTTTTCGGATTTAATTTTTTTCGATTTTTTTGGGTTTCTTGGATTTTTTAAGTTCTTCGATCTTTTGTATTTTTAAAAATTTATTGGATATTTTCGATTTTTCCAATTATTAAATTTCTTGAATTTCTTGGGTTTCTTGCATTTCTTGCGATTTTGGATTTTTTTCTTTTGGATTTTTCTTATTTCTCGGATTTCTAGAATTTGTCGTATTTAATCTAATTTTCGAATTTTTTGTGTTCTTCGGATTTTTGAATTTTTTTAAATTTTCGAATTTTTCAGATGTAAATGAAAATCATTTTCAAACCAAATTTTTCGAAAATCTTGATTCAGGACATCAGCACGTCATGTTTTTGGAATCATTTCATCAAAATGTATTTATTTCTCAGAATTTTTTGAATATTTTATAGGCAACTTTTCAAAATTCTCAATTTTTTTTAATATTGATATGGTTTTTTTTAGTTTTCGCAATATTAAAAAAAAAAATCATTTTCAAGCCAAATTCATCCAAAACTTATTTTCAATTTCTTGGATTTCTTAAATTTCTTGAATTTCTTGGATTTCTTGCATTTCTTGTGTTTTTTGGATTATTTCTTTTGGTTTTTTATTTATGTTCTCTTGGATTGTCTGGATTTTTTTATATTCTTGGTCTTTTTTCAGATTATTTCCTTAAGTTTTTTGGACTTTTTAGATAGATTCGTTTTTTGAATTTCACTAAATTTTTTGGATATTTTCAATTTTTTGGATTATTCAATTTCTTGGGTTTCTTAGGTTTCTCGCATTTCTTGGGTTTTTGGATTTTTTTTCGGATTTAACTTTTTTCGATTTTTTTGGGTTTCTTGGATTTTTTAAGTTCTTCGATCTTTTGTATTTTTTTGAATTTATTGGATATTTTCCAGTTTTTCGATTAGGTACATTTCTTGATTGTCTTGGGTTTCTTGCATTTCTTGTGTTTTTTAGATTATTTATTTTCGTTTTTTCTATTTTCTTTTGGATTGTTTGGATGTTTTACATTTTTGGTCTTTTTTGGATTTTTCGGATTCTTCGGATTTTTCCTTAAATTTTTTGGACTTTTTAGATTCTAAATTTTTCGGATATGTTTAATTTTTTTGATTATTGAATTTCTTGCGTTTCTTAGGTTTCTTGCATTTATTGGGTGTTTTGGATTTTTTTTCCTTTCGATTTTACAGATTTTTTAATTTTCTGGATAGATGCGAGTTTTTGGATTTTTGCAATTATTGGATGTCTTAGATTTATTGTTTTTTTTTTTAGATTTTTTGGATTATTTGAATTTTTGTAAATTTTTTTTCTTTTTTCAGATTTAATTTTGTTCGATTTTTTTTGGTTTTTCAATTTATTGGATATTTTCGATTTTTCCGATTATTAATTTTAGAATTTCTTGGGTTTCTTGCATTTCTTGCGATTTTGGATTTTTTTTGGATTTTTCGGATTCTTTGGATTTTTCTTATTTCTCGGATTTTTAGAATTTTTCGGATTTATTCTTATTTTCGATTTTTTTGGATTCTTCGAATTTTTCGAATTTTTTGAAAATTTCGAATTTTTCATCTTCATTCAAATTTAAATCAAAACCATTTTCAAACCGAATTTTTCGAAAATCTTGGTTCGGGACATTAATACATTCTGTTTTTCGAATAAGTTCATTGAAATTAATTTTTCAGAATTTTTTGAGAATTTTTAGGCAACTTTTCAAAATTCTCAATTTTTCGATGATTTTTTTTAGTTTTCCCAATATTAAAATAAAATCATTTTCAAGCCGAATTTATCGAAAATTTTGGTCTGGGACCATCAACACGTTTTTTTTTCGAATTAGCTCGTCGAAGTGTATTTCACAAAATTTTTTGAGAATTTTTGGGCTACTTTTAAAAATTTTCAATTTCTCAATTTTTCGACCATTTTTTAAGAACCCTTTGCAAATTACCCAAAGACATTTCCTTGTAGATTTAGACTTGTCGAAGTTATTTTCGGCTGCATTTCTTCGAAAATTGCAACAATTTTTCCGGAATCGAAAAAATAAAAATCAAAATTTTCGAGATTTTATAAAAAAATCATTTTACAACCGAATTTTTTGAAACTCTAGTTTTGGAACATTAGCATGTTATGTTTTTAGAATAAGTTTGTCGAAATGTATTTTCAAAATTTTTTGAGAATTTTTGGGCCACTTCAAAATTGCCAATTTTTCAATATCCTCCCATATGATTTTTTTTTAATTTTCGAGATATTAAAAAAAAACATTTTCAAACCGAATTTTTCCTAAATTTTTGGATATTTTTGGGCAACTTTTCAAAATTCTCAAATTTTCGATGCCCTTCCACATGCCTCTTTTTTTCCCAATGTTTAAAGAAAACCATTTTCAAGCCGAAAATTTTGGTCTGGGATCATCAACACGTTGTTTTTCGAATCAGTTCGTTTAAATGTGTTTTACAAAATTTTTTAAGGATTTTTAGGCTAGTTTCGAAAATTTCAATTTTTCAATTTTTTACCATTATTTGAGAACCCTTGGCAAATTACCCGAAGACAAGTTTGTAGATTTAGAGTTAGCGAAGTTATTTTCGGCTTCATTCCAACAATTTTTCCAAAATCGAAAAAATGAAAAATCACAATTTTCGAGATAACAAAATCGTTTTCAAACCGAATTTTTCGAAGATTTTTTTTGGTGAGCATCAACATTATGTTTGCCGAATCAGCTTATCGAAGTGTTTTCCAAAATTTTTGGGAACTTTTGGAGTACGTTTCAAAAATCGCAGTTCAATTTTTTGGCCATTTTTCGAGAACCGCAAATTACCCGAAAACATTTTCTTGTAATATGAAAAATGAGAGAATTTTTAGGCAACTTTTCAAAAAACTTACTTTTTGATTTTTTTGACTATTTATGGAGCACTTTTCGAAAATTGAAGACATTTTCTTGTAGATATTCAACTTCTAGAAGTAATTTTAAGTTATTTTTGGCTTTTCACTCTTGTGTAATAATAAAATTTGATAATAAATTTATACTGAAAATAGGCCATTTTGGACTTGTGAAACACATACAGTTTTCTACTTAAAAATTAAGTTACATGTATATTGCTTCAGGAAATGAGAAAACGCTCTGTATAGTTAATGTTGTTCAGAGTCGTACAACTTTGGTTTTTGATTTTTTTGACTCTAATAATTATTTATGACTTATCGAGGTGGTCATTTATTGGTCCACCCTGTAGGTTAAAAAATCTTAAAGTTTTTTGCGTAGAGAGAGCGAACATTTATACAAATTCTTTATCACTTATTAGGTAATGTTTTTCATATTTATGTTGAACGTTTTTTTTGAAGACTTAGAATTGACGAAAAAAAATCGTCCAGAAACCTTTGAAATTCAGTGTTAAAAAAATTATGTTGGCAACATCAACGCGCTAATTTAACTTACTAACTTAACATAACACAAAAACAGTGTGTCATAATTTTTGCTATGTGATTTTTGAACCCTTTTTGAAACTTATTAGAGAAAAATATCAAAAAATTCGTGTAAAATTTTGACGGGTATTATAATTTAAAAACTTAAACTCGCAACGGTAACTACTTTTACCGTGTTAATTTTTTGTCGGCGTTGGAATATTTAAACTATGTAAAGAATGATGTAGAAAAGTGTTAAAAGATAAGATCTTTTATGCTTGAAGGTATTATTTAAATACGTAAAAATCGTAGCAGAAATAATGTGCATTTATTTCACTTTAGGTGCATATAACGTCATAGGGCAAAGACCAATGACGTCATAAATAAATAAACACTATTAGAAAGCAGAATTAAAAAAACTGCTTATCCAGTTTGAGCACCTTGGGAAAATATGCAAGAGTTGTTAAGGTTTTAGTATGATTTGAACACACCTACATCATTATATAATGTTTTCAAAAAGTCCTGATATGGTAATTGTAATTAGATAGATCTGTCAAAGTTCAGCTGAATTTTTGTAAAACTAATTGAAAATTTAACGTCACTTTATCGAACTGAATGAATTTGTTTCAGCTTTTAATCTGTGTAAGTTATAATCGGTGTATAAACTGTGGACCATTTTTGAACACCGGAAATAATCACGGTAGATTTTTTGGGAGATCACATCGTCAATTTTTGAATCGGAGACGGATTTCAGCTTCGCTGTCTAAGCAGCATCCAAATCAGGTAAATCCGGGCCCCGTCCTCGCCATCAATAAACAACACCTAATTGCTAACGACAGCATAAAACTAAAAAGTGACCCGGAGATCCCATCCCGCATCAATTAACCTTTTAGTCGCCTCAGTTTACAAATTACCGTGATTAACACGAAGATGTTATCCGATTGTCACAACTCGCACCTCATCAAAGCGCGCCTAATCGAAGCCGCAGATCCTCTGACGAAACAATCAGAAGTTCAAAAGTCGCCCAAAAACGCTCTCCGCAAACCACCGTGAGAACCCGGCTTGCGCAACCACCGCTCATCATCATGAAATGTCAATAATGGTTCTAATTCCCCGGAGTAGAAATCAGCGTACAAAATTGTCGCGGCAAAAAGCGGCTCGTTTTCACTTTCTGTGACATTTGTGCAGCGTTTCCTGTCCGATTGTTTATCGCCTTGGCGAATGCCATTCTCCGGAGTTTTTCCCGGAGTTCTTTGCGGCTCGTGGGGCCTTTTCGACCGCCTTTCCATTGCGGGTATGGAAATTTCGGCCCAGATTGAGCGCGCGGACCGAGGGTCTTAAGCAATACCGTGATTAATAATTTTAATTAGCGCAATTTGCCGGAGCCGTTACTTGCTTTTACGGTTAACGTCATAAAGGCCAAGGTTTGAGAAAGAAGGCTTACCACGATCACGGTGTCGTTGAGGTTCCGCAGTAAGATGGCGGCTTGGTGCTCTTCGTCCTGGTAGATGTCGCCGATGTCTTCGTCGTCGGTCTGAAACAAAGATAAAATTTTAATCAAATTGAATCACAATTCGGACTTTGATTAAAGGCTTTTCAGGTCTTGAAGGTCTTCAAATTCCACAGATTACATAACTTTTACTAACAATTTGTAAATAAATAATCATTGTGTCAAATGGTACAAACATTTTTTTTCTTTTTGGTACAATTTCAATTTTTCCACAGCAATTTTGAAGTCAGTGTTGAGTGGATTGAATTTTTCCATGAATGTAATTAACTGTTTCAACGTCGGTCACGACAACAGTAATTACTTTCGCACTTGCCCAGCTATTATTGCCTTACGCAAAAAGTGCATCGTAATTGTTGTATTTCTTTGTGTTGGCCATTCTTTTGTTGTGTTTGTTATTTCACTCAGTGTGATATTATCGAAGTTTTTGTTGTCTAATTTCAGTTGGAGTAGTTTCAATTGAATAATTTTATTTTTTGAATATTAGAAGCGATGAATGTATTGAAAAGTGAAAATTATGCGTTTGGTTAGATTTAGAAAGTTCGGTTGTAATTAATTTTATGTTTATGTTTGGGTTCTTCTTCCGGTTGTTCGAAGTAAAATTGGTGAAATGTGAAAAATGTTTTTGTTGTAATTTTGTATTGTAGTTTGGGGTATTAATTTGAAATTGGTGATAATTTTTGTAAGCTGAAATTTATAAAATACATCAAATTCCAGGAATTCGAGTCAGTTAATTCTAGAATCTCGAAAACCATTTTTAATGACAAATTAAAAAAAAAATAATGGTACTACTTTCTGAATTCCAGAAGAATTCCTGCGTTTCGTCCTGCGAGTTTCGAAAGAATTCCATCAAATTCATGAAACTCGAATCAGTAGCTATCTAATTTTAAACATAATTCTTACAGATCTGACACAACTTTAAAGCACATTTTGTGGAAAATTAGAAAATCTTGTAATACCTAGTACTAGTTTGGGAATACGCAACCTACCGCGTCGAATAAAAAAGAAATTCCAAAAGAATTCCTGCGAATTCGGAAATTTTCCATCAAATTCCAAAAATTCGAGTCATAAATATATAATTTCGAAAATGATTTTTACAGATCTGAAACAGCCCTAAACCGTATTTAATTACAAATTTAAACATTTTGTAATGGTACTATTTTCTGGCTAAACAAACAATCGTGTCAAAGAATACAACAAGTTTATCAATAATTTGTTTTAAATTTGTTGACTTCAGAACAAATTCTACCAATTTCTAAAAAATCAATTCTAGAAAAATTCCTGCGTCTTCTGTATTGCGAATTCCGAAAGAATTCCATTGTGAAAAATTTAAATTTTGTTGTAATAGTACTAGTTTGTTGATAAGCAAATAATAATATCAAAGAATACGAAAAGTTTGTATACATTTGTTATAATCCTGCTAATTTCGGAAAAAATTTTAGCAATTCCCAAAGGAGAAATTCCAAAAGAATTCCTGCGAGTTCCGAAAGAATTCCAGAAATTCGAATCAGTAGCTATTAAATTTTGAAAATAATTCTTACAGATCTGACACAACTTTAAAGCACATTTTGTGGCAAATTAGAAAATCTTGTAATACATACAACTAGTTTGGGAATACGCAACCGACCGTGTCGAATAAAAGAGAAATTCGAAAAGAGTTCCTGCGGATTCCGAAATATTTCCATCAAATTCCAAAAATTTGAGTCATAAATATATAATTTCGAAAATGATTTTTACAGATCTGAAACAGCTCTAAACCGTATTTAATTACAAATTTAAACATTTTGTAATGGTACTATTTTCTGGCTAAACAAACAATCGTGTCAAAGAATACAACAAGTTTATCAATAATTTATTTTAAATTTGTTGACTTCAGAACAAATTCTACCAATTTCTAAAAAATCAATTCTAGAAAAATTCCTGCGAGTTCTGTGTTGCGAATTCCGAAAGAATTCCATCAAATTCATGAAACTCGAATCAGTAGCTATCTAATTTTAAAAATAATTCTTACATATCGGAATCTACTTTAAACCAGATTTGGTGAAAAATTTAAATTTTTTTGTAATAGTACTAGTTTGTCGATAAGCAAATAATAATATCAAAAAATACGAAAAGTCTAATACATTTGTTATAATCTTGCTAATTTCGGAAACAATTTTAGCAATTCCTAAAGAAGAAATTCCAGAAGAATTCCTTCGAGTTCCGAAAGAATTCCAGAAATTCGAATCAGTAGCTATTAAATTTTGAAAATAATTCTTACAGATCTGACACAACTTTAAAGCACATTTTGTGGAAAATTAGAAAATCTTGTAATACCTAGTACTAGTTTGGGAATACGCAACCTACCGCGTCGAATAAAAAAGAAATTCCAAAAGAATTCCTGCGAATTCGGAAATTTTCCATCAAATTCCAAAAATTCGAATCATAAATATATAATTTCGAAAATGATTTTTACAGATCTGAAACAGCCCTAAACCGTATTTAATAACAAATTTAAACATTTTGTAATGGTACTATTTTCTGGCTAAGCAACAATCGTGTCAAAGAATTCAACAAGTTTATTAATAATTTGTTTTAAATTTGTTGATTTTAAAAGAAATTCTACCAATTTCTAAAAAATCAATTCTAGAAAAATTCCTGCGAGTTCTGTGTTGCGAATTCCGAAAGAATTCCATCAAATTCATGAAACTCGAATCAGTAGCTATCTAATTTTAAAAATAATTCTTACAGGTCTGAATTTACTTTAAACCAGATTTTGTGAAAAATTTAAATTTTTTGTAATAGTACTAGTTTGTTGATAAGCAAATAATAATATCAAAGAATACGAAAAGTTTAACACATTTGTTATAATCCTGTTAATTTCGGAAACAATTTTAGCAATTCCTAAAGAAGAAATTCCAGAAGAATTCCTACGAGTTTCGAAAGAATTCCAGAAATTTGAATCACTAGCTATTAAATTTTGAAAATAATTCTTACAGATCTGACACAACTTTAAAGCACATTTTGTGACAAATTAGAAAATCCTGTAATACCTAGTACTAGTTCGGGAATACGCAACCGACCGTGTCGAATAAAAGAGAAATTCCAAAAGAATTTCTGCGGATTCCGAAATACTTCCATCAAATTCCAAAAATTCGAGTCATAAATATATAATTTCGAAAATGATTTTTAAAGATCTGAAACAGCCCTAAACCGTATTTAAACACTTAAAAATTTAAACATTTTGTAATGGTACTATTTACTGGCTAAGCAAACAATCGTGTCAAAGAATACAACAAGTTTATCAATAATTTGTTTTGAATTTGTTGATTTCAGAACAAATTCTACCAATTTCTAAAAAATCAATTCTAGAAAAATTCCTGCGAGTTCTGTGTTGCGAATTCTGAGAGAATTCCATCAAATTCATGAAACTCCAATCAGTAGCTATCTAATTTTAAAAATAATTCTTTCAGGTCTGAATCTACTTTAAACTAGATTTTGTGAAAAATTTAAATTTTTTATAACAGTACTAGTTCATTGATAAGCAAATAATAATATCAAAGAATACGAAAAGTTTAATACATTTGTTATAATTCTGCTAATTTCGGAAACAATTTTAGCAATTCCCAAAGAAGAAATTCCAGAAGAATTCCTGCGAGTTCCGAAAGAATTCCAGAAATTTGAATCACTAGCTATTAAATTTTGAAAATAATTCTTACAGATCTGACACAACTTTAAAGCACATTTTGTGACAAATTAGAAAATCTTGTAATACCTAGTACTAGTTCGGGAATACGCATCCAACCGCGTCGAATAAAAAAGAAATTCCAAAAGAATTCCTGCGGATTCCGAAATACTTCCATCAAATTCCAAAAATTCGAGTCATAAATATATAATTTCGAAAATGATTTTTACAGATCTGAAACAGCTCTAAACCGTATTTAATAACAAATTTAAGCATTTTGTAATGGTACTATTTTCTGGCTAAGCAAACAATCGTGTCAAAGAATACAACAAGTTTATCAATAATTTGTTTTAAATTTGTTGATTTCAGACCAAATTCTACCAATTTCTAAAAAATCAATTCTAGAAAAATTCCTGCGAGTTCTGTGTTGCGAATTCCGAAAGAATTCCATCAAATTCATGAAACTCGAATCAGTAGCTATCTAATTTTAAAAATAATTTTTACAGATCTGAATCTACTTTAAACCAGATTTTGTGAAAAATTTAATTTTTTTTGTAATAGTACTAGTTTGTTGATAAGCAAATAATAATATCAAAAAATACGAAAAGTCTAATACATTTGTTATAATCCTGCTAATTTCGGAAACAATTTTAGCAATTCCTAAAGAAGAAATTCCAGAAGAATTCCTGCGAGTTCCGAAAGAATTCCAGAAATTTGAATCACTAGCTATTAAATTTTGAAAATAATTCTTACAGATCTAACACAACTTTAAAACACATTTTGTGGAAAATTAGAAAATCTTGTAATACCTAGTACTAGTTTGGGAATACGCAACCTACCGCGTCGAATAAAAAAGAAATTCCAAAAGAATTCCTGCAAATTTCGAAATATTTCCATCAAATTCCAAAAATTTGAGACAAATATATAATTTCGAAAATGATTTTTACACATCTGAAACAGCCCTAGACTGTATTTAATAACAAATTTAAACATTTTGTAATGGTACTATTTTCTGGCTAAGCAAACAATCGTGTCAAAGAATACAACAAGTTTATCAATAATTTGTTTTAAATTTGTTGACTTCAGAACAAATTCTACCAATTTCTAAAAAATCAATTCTAGAAAAATTCCTGCGAGTTCTGTGTTGCGAATTCCGAAAGAATTCCATCAAATTCATGAAACTCGAATCAGTAGCTATCTAATTTTAAAAATAATTCTTACATATCGGAATCTACTTTAAACCAGATTTGGTGAAAAATTTAAATTTTTTTGTAATAGTACTAGTTTGTTGATAAGCAAATAATAATATCAAAAAATACGAAAAGTCTAATACATTTGTTATAATCCTGCTAATTTCGGAAAC